GTATAGATTGAGATAATAATGTAATTAGGAAGATGAGTTAAGATACAAATTTGGTGATTGAAAAACTGCTTTATTCAGTTTTATGACTCACTGATTTAAATCCAAAAAGAATTACTCATGATGCATAAAAATCAATAAATTAAAAACTTAAAAATTCTATATAATTTAAGAAATAACCAAAACCATTGCTCAGAGACATTATTTTATAGACAGGGATTGCTGGCTTAATTGTTCAGTGAGACATGTTGAAATATGACCTTATAATTAGGTTATAACAGTGCATGTATCATATTAAGAAGCTTTTTGAAATCCCAGATGATTTATTCTGGGTGTGTAAACTCTATATTGGCAGGTGCTTGTAACCCATGAGAATCAAGTGTAGGGGAGGAAAAACTTCCTATACCCTCTTTGATTCAGTGATCAGGGGCTTGCAAATTGAACTGGCAAATGATAGATTAGCAGATGAAAAAACAAAATTTAATCTAATGTGCATATAGAAATTCACAGCAATATGTGACTCAAGGAAGCATTTAAACCTGTAAACAATCTTAATAGGGGAAGGGGAGGGAAAGAAGGACACTTATAGGGAAACAAATGACTTTTTGGAAAGATAAATGGGTACTTAAGAGAACAGATGTGGGATGTGACAGTTCTGTGACAATGATTATTTGGGTATGTGGTGATCATAAGAGTCTCTTCCCTGTTCTAGGGATATATGACAATTGAGTGCTTTTTAGCAATCTCTTTTTTAATGCAGATAAGGGGTTCCAGGAACTCAGATTCCTTTTGCTTAAAATAATTTTCTGGACCCCTTCATAAGAATTCCACTGTTATTTTACTTTATGGCTAGTGCTGTCACCTGCTAAATATCCTACTGAACATAATTTTAAATGACCTCATGCTGGTGAAGGGGTGAGAAATCTTTTCCTTCTAACCCTCTAAAGTTTATGACCTGGGCCCCATGCCAAAAGGCAGACTAATAAGAGAAAAGCATACAGCTTTAATATATGTAATTTATATGACACAGGAACTTTCATAAGGAAATGAAGACCCAAAGAAACAGTTAAACTGTTTTTAATGGTAGGTTTGATGAAGAGTAGAGAGTCCTTGAAGAAAACTGATAGGGTAGAGTATGAGGTAAATGTAGTAAAGTGGGAGAAACTTGGCAAGACTTGTTTTGGAGTCCTCTTTGAGACCTTTCATCTTCAGAAATAAGGATGAAGGGCCCCTTTCAAGTGAGGGTCTCATGACCAGCCTGAAGGAAAGGTCAGAGGGTTCTGTGACCTGTTTCTGGAAAAATACTCCCAACAGTCACATTTTGGGGAAGCATGTTCTGAACTCCATCACCGTGTTAGATGATCAATTTCCCTTAGGAAATTGATTTGCGATCTTTGCCCTGCCATTTCATGGGAGCAGATTTCTTTCCATTTGCAGTCTGTCTTTGTCTTTTGGTCTTAATGCTGCACCTTCCTCGAGCTTGAATTGAAACACCACTAATCCAGACTGTCTTCCAGTTGCTGGGAACACATCAGATTCCTTAATTGATCTTATTGAAGTCCATTCTCCCCCCAAGGTTTGAGATAAAGGTGGCAATGATAGTACCCTCCTTCATCCCAGCCCATCTTCTTGGAAGAGAGAGAGGGTTTGGAGAATAGTACTTTCTCTTAAGAAATCTTTTACAAATTCTCTTTTCAACCCCTTTCTCAGTTAAAAAAGCAAAATAAAACAGAATTCTTGGAGTACTTGAAGGAATTTCAGAATTGTATAACAGGTTTGTGTTCATTTCCTTTGTGTACTCTAAAGTTAATGATCTCTTTTCTCATATACTTTGGAATCTGGTCTTTGTCATCTATTTTATTGTACCTCTGCCAAAATTTTGTTTTTTAAAAAGGGGAGGGCTGGGGTTGTGTCTCAATGGTAGAGCGTTTGCTTTGCACATGTGAGGCACTGGGTTTGATTCTCAGCACCACATAAAAAATAAATAAATAAAATGAAGGTATTATGTCCACCTACAACTAAAAAACATAATTCTTAAAGAAGGGAATCTTTTAATTTTTTAAAATTATATATTAGAAAGGGTCATTTGGTCATTAAGTACAAAAGAACCATGATGGATCACTGTTTGGCAGAGTACATTTTGTGTAATGGATAATATTCAGTTAGAGGAAATTAAAACAAATTGTCCAACATTTGTTAGAATTATTAGAACCATAAAAGTAACCCAGATTGTCTGTTGGTTCTTATTTTATCATTTTAGCAATATATTTAGGTTAAATTAGACAAGGTGGTTGTAGCATCTGATCTGAAGGCTTAGAATCATCCTGCCTTGGAGATTTGTGCATGGTTCTCTTTCCAGAGAGAGTTAATTGCTATTCTTAGGACTTATTTTTTTTTTTTTAAAGAGAGAGGAGAGAGAGAGAGAGAGAGAATTTTTTTTTAATATTTATTTTTTTTTAGTTATTGGCGGACATAACATCTTTGTATGTGGTGCTGAGGATCGAACCCGGGCTGCACGCATTGCAGGCGAGCGCGCTACCGCTTGAGCCACATCCCAGCCCCTCTTAGGACTTATTTTTGACATCTTATTTCAGGTTTAACTTTTTCCGTTGCTCTGTTTTGGTTGCTTTTGTTGTGGGGTTTCATTTTATTTTGTTTTTGTATCTACATTACTTTTTTACATGGGATGAATTCAGTTTTCTAGTGTGATTTAATAATCATGAATTGTCTTATTATTCTTACAGTAATTGCCTTTAACTAAGACATTAACTGTCTTAGTTTGAGGTTACCCCCCCACCCCCCTCCCCCCTTTCCCCCTACTTTCCCCCACACTCCTTGATGCTAGTGGTTTATTTGGGATATGATCCAAGGAAGAAGAAGGGAAAGAATAGGGAAAGTGAGGCAGGAAAGGGGGAAAAATACAACAAAGAATGCTGATAATATCACTGTAGGTAACTAGGGGTCTGTCAGTTCCCCTGAAGAATCAGGTAGATAAGCCCCAGGAGGCTGGGGTATTTACTGGTCCTGCAGATAAACCTTTCCCCTGGAGACACTAGTTCCCTTTGGTGATCGGGCTCTTAAGAAACATCAGAAAAAGCCCTGAGGCAGAACAGAGAGCTACCTGCAGCATGTACTTGAGATAGGATACTAGCAATAGACACAGAACTGTCTTCCACAACTGTGGCCAAAAACAGAGGCTTGAGGGCCACAGGTGTTCACTGCATTTTTTTTTTTCCCCCCCCCCCCCCCCCCGTGATTATTTAAACATCATTTCAATATTACATCTTCTTCAGACAAGCATTTCAGCATGTTTTCACATTCCTTTAGTTTCTCCCCATTCTATCCCCTACTAAATAATTTAAATGTTATGGATATACTTTTTCTTTTTATCCTTTGGTCCTCAAGTTTTAAAAATAACATTGAACTTTTCATTCTTATTGTTCATATAAATCATTCTTACTGGTCACATCTTTGGCACCATCTGTTTAGATTTTTAAAATTATTATTATCATATATTTTTTCCTCTAAGAGGTTTTTTATTTTTGTTTTCCAAGTCTGAGACCTTGTATACTTGGAAATACCCTATTGTATCCTCAAATTGAAATGATAATTGGCTGGTTATAAAATTCTAGGCTTAAAGCTAACAAATAGAACTTTATAATAAAGAACAATTTCTTAAAATCTGATTAATGTTTTCTTATTTATAGTTTTAGTAAATGATACACTTCAAGTAAGTATACATTTATTTACGAATACTAATTTGGGGGGTTGTTTTAATACTGAAGCACTTAATAGGAAGAACTTAGCAATAGCCTCCACTCATGCTTAGATACCATTCTGTCTACCTTTTATGATAGAATTAAATACGTCATTTCGTGGTGTTCTAAAAAGAACATGTACAAGTTTTGGGAATACTTTGACAGTTTTTTTCCTTCTTAAATTCTGAGATGGTCTCAATTTCTCCCTGGATTTTATATAATTAATTCATTAAGTTTAAAACTTGTTCATAAACTATTTCCCATATGAGTCTTCTGCCTTTATAGTAATAGCAGACTGATGTTTTTCTTTCATTCTGTTCTCTTTGGCTTTCTACAGTATCCTCTCTGGTGATATATAAGCTATTTTTGTCTTAGGTAGCCTAGGCATGTCCTGAGTTGTGGTAGGAAATCTAAATACCAGAGGGATCTAGAAGGAGAAGTAACAGTAAGAAAACATGCCTGAATTCCAGGAAATTCTCTTGAGCCTAGGGATGATTTTCTTTTGTCACCTACACACTTGTTTCTGTCACCATGTTTCCTGAACCAGCAGCTAGTTTCTAAAACAGCTTGTTTCAGGAGGTTGTTGCTTAGTTTTAATTTTAGATATTATTGGCCTAAAATGACAATTGATAGTTACATGACAGTAATAGTTACATTATGGAAATTATGCAGTTAAACAGGATAAAAGCTAAATTAAGCCTTTCCTTCCTTTATCAGATGGATGGGTGGATATAAAGATACAGATTTTTTTTTTTTTAAACTTCTGGTACTGGTTCTTAAATTATATTAGGATTACCGCTCTTTTTCCTAAAATAAAATAATACAAAATAAATTGATGACAAATTATATTTGTTTTCTCATATATTTTTCTTAAATCTGTGCTAAAAGAAAGAAATCTTAACAGGAAAAACTTAGCAATAGTCTATCATTCATGCTAGGTTTAACAGTCTCTTTAACTCTTACAGTAGAATTAAATATGTGGTATTATGTGGTGTTCTAAAAAGAAGAGTGTATAGTTTGGGGGGGGTATCTGGATACTTTAACATTTTTGGCAATTGTTCTTGATGTAAATTAGTTCTCTGAATTTGAAAATAATGTTTATGTTGAAAAATAAGTAGTGTTTCAAAGATGAGTTCAACATTGATTTTTACATAAAAGTTGTTTTGAATAAATTAAAAGTTGCCCCCACCCTGCATAGGTTTGTTTTATTAATGTAAATAACATTTTTATTTTGTGACCTTACAGGAGCCCAGGCTTGTGTACTTGTATTTTCTACTACAGACAGAGAGTCTTTTGAAGCAGTTTCTAGCTGGAAAGAAAAAGTAGTAGCTGAAGTTGGAGATATACCAACTGTGCTTGTACAAAACAAGATTGACCTTTTGGATGATTCTTGTATAAAGAAGTAAGATGGCTGCTTTTTGGGGAAAAGGGTATTAATTCTGTAAAGTTAAAACAAATTTTTGCTTAGACTTACAAAACTAAAATTTTTATATTTACTTAAGTTCTAAAGGTCTTAATTATTTATAGGCTTTAATTTACTTATCTGTGAGCTATTTGTGATTGGTTTATGTTTAAATGAGCATAGTAAGGTGATAATAAATAATAATACTAAACTGTACATTTCAAAAACCTGGAGGAAAGTATATTGAAAGTTTCACCATAGAGAAAGGATAAATGTTTCAGAAGGTAGATATGTTTAACCTGTACAACATTGTACAGAAAACATTTTTTCTATCTCAGTTTCTGTGGATCAGTAATTTGGGAGTGGCTTAGCTCAGTGGTTTTATGTTCGGTTATAGTCAATATGTTGACTAGTCACAAGCTTGAGAAATAAGCAGTGCTTCAAAGATGAGTTCAACACTGATTTATATAAAAGTTGTTTTGAATAAATAATAATAATAAAAGGTGCTGGAAGATCCATTTCTAAGATGGCTATCTTGCTGCAGGAGGCTTTAATTCCTTGCATTGTGGGCTTCTTTTTATGGCTGTGTGAGTATTCTCACAACAAGGCAGCTGTTTCCCCAGGGCAGGTGATTCAAGAGAGAGCAAGGCAGAAACCACAATGCTTCTTAAAAGACCTATTCTCAGAAATCACATACTGTCATTTCTATTGTATCAGACCAAACTTGATTACAGGGTAGGAAGAGGCTATACAAGAGTTTGAAGACCAGGAGCCATTCTGGAGCATGGCTACTAGAATTCTAATACAGCTAAAAAGGGTCCACTCTTACAGACTCAGCCATTAATAGGCTGACTTTGGCTGTGGGCAGCAAAGTTATTTCATGGCCAAGAATAATATAACAAGTTATTCAAAGTATAATTAAATCCAAACATTCTCAAAAAGAAAAGAGAGAAAATTAATTAAAATTCTACATAAAAGCTGCATTTGATGATCTATCCTAGCCATTCAAGAGGCTGAGGCAGGCCGATCTTAAGTTCCAGACTTCGGCGACTTTGTAAAATCCTGTTTCAAAATTTTTTAAAAAGGACTAGGGATTTAGGTCAGTAGTTAAGTGCCCCTGAGTTCAATCACCAGTACCCCCCATTCTAATTATATAAATAAAAGTGATATTTAATTATTTTAATTAGTGACTTTATAGAAAAGTGTCCTATTTACAATATAGATGGTTGGTGTTTATCCCTCAAGAGGAATGAAGCTAAAAATCCTGCTCAAGCACTGAGAACTTCACTTTAAACACTTTTATTTATTTGGGCATCAATATCAAGCTGATTTTAAAAAGAAACATGAACATTATCTGAAAGACCTGCTCCACCTCCCTATCCTTATTCTACTGTACCCTACCAATCTTAAGAAGTGTAATTTTTAAAAGTAACTTTTAAAAACAAGCTTTCAGAAGCTGCTGCTTCTCTCTCTCTCTCTCTCTCTCTCTCTCTCTCTCTCTCTCTCTCTCTCTTTTTATTGGTGTGCAGTGAGGAAGCTGAGGCTCTGGCAAAAAGGTTAAAGTTAAGATTCTACAGAACATCAGTGAAAGAAGACCTAAACGTGAGTGAAGGTAAATTGCATCTTTAAAAATATACATTGCAATAGGAAATTTGTTTTATTCTTCTTAATGTCTTTTCTGTTGTGTTGTTAGAAAAAAAAAATTGAGAACGTTTTCTTTTTGTCACCTAACGTTAGGTAAAATTTAAAGACATTCTGCTTCTTTGATTTAAAAAGTCCTTGGTTATTTAATTAATGTCCTTGAAACTTATTCCCTATGGCAATTTATAGTGGTACTTTAAGTTTTATCATTATCTTTGAAAATTTAAGTTATAAATGTGTGTGTATGTATGTTTTTCATGCATACCTTTTAAAAATTACTGAACTGTTTTAGTACTCCTTGGTAATAGATATTTCATTAGGTAGTTACAATGACCTTAATTTGTTTAATAATATTTCCCAGTTTAAGAAAGTGAGATTAGAGAAAGAAAATTATGACTTTTCTCATTCCAGAATTGTCACTTATTAGATTGCAACTAGGTTGTGGCTTCAGTGTTTATTCTGGGTAGTTTCTTCACCTGAAAAACTAGACATTTCTTCAAGACTGAATCAGTTGGGTGTTGCTAAGTATTAATTGCTACTCATATATTTAAAATGAATAGCCAATGTCTACAAATAGTATTTCATTTCTTTACTATTTTCTAGTATTATCATTGTTCTCAGATATCCCTCAGTTAATTTTTGAAAGTTGAATTTTTAACTAGATTAAATGTCAATTTAATTTTATCTTCATTTAGTAAGTATAAAATTATAAGTAATATGAAATAATACATTTATTGGTATAAATCATATTGACTCTGTGTGTGTGTGTGTGTGTGTGTTTTCTAGTTTTTAAATACTTGGCTGAAAAATATCTTCAAAAACTCAAACAACAAATAACTGAGGATCCAGAACTAACGCATTCAAGTAGTAACAAAATTGGTAAGTACTCAGGAAAATTTTCCCCATGCTTACCTGATATTTATTCTGCATCCATTATTATATTTACTTTTTTATATATAATGTGCACATTTCTTTTAAAAATGTGATTTAAAAGTGTTAGATTAAAAATTATTAAATTTAAGAGTATCAGATCTCTTGTTAAATTGAGATGTAAATACTTTTTTATAAAGGTCTATCCTTTATATAAAGGAGCTTTATATTACTTGTTCTTTTCATTCTATACTTGTCTTTTAAGAACCTCTCTCTTCCTATCTTGCTTATTACCTGTTGATTATTTTTTCTTTTTTTTTTGTTACGGGGAGTGAACCCAGGGGCACTCAGCCACTGAGCCACATTCCCATCCCTTTTTTAGATTTTATTTCGAGATAAGGTCTTGCTGAGTTGCTTAGCGCCTTGCTAAGTTGCTGAGGCTGGCTTTGAACTTGCGATCCTCCTGCCTCAGCCTCCAGAGTTTCTGAAGTTACAGATGTGTGTCACTGTGCAAGGCTATTGTTTTTTCTTTTACATGTTAAATGCTAGCAGAACTTCAGCATTGCCTAAAGAACAAGTGTGTTGTCTTCTCTTTTACAGTAACTGTTGGTGTATGTTGGTTTCCAGGGAGATGAGAGCCAAATGTGCTGGTTCTAAAGTTCTGTGTAGTCTCTTAGGGACTTTGTTATCTATATTCTGTCCTTTTTCCTTGGCTCTGGCTTTTTTTATTCTTCCATTTTTATTGCATATATGACTGCCATTGGACATCTCAAATGCCTTGTGAACAAGATAGGACTGTTGCATGAGTCTATAGTTGGTCTGGTCTGCTTGGCCCCCTTCATGCCTCCTTCTAATTCACTGATTGCCTTCACGCCAACATTTAAAGACAGTTTGTCCATTCTCATTGTAGCTTCATGCATCGCTATACACCCCATTTGCTGGGTTCTGCCGTTTGTTACTTATATTGAGAGTGACCTCTCTTTCCCATCTTTTTTCAAAGAACAATTCATTCTTCAGGGATTACCTAGAAAGATCTCTCAGCTTTTTATCTGGCTGAAGCCACAGCCTTCATACTTTTCCTCTAACAGAACAGAAATTAAAGTCCAGGGCATTGTCAGATGTCCAGTTCTACTTTCATGTAGTTTTTCGTTCTTATGAAATTCTGTATTATGATATCATATGAATGAATCAAATTTAATTAGTTCTTCCTTTGAACCATCTATGAGATCTTGTCTCTCCTTTCTGACACTTAACATATAATGTCTCTAGCATTACTTATCTGTATTCTGTCTTATCTCACTTATTAAGTTGCAAACTTCTTGTGGGCCAAAATTGGTCATGTTTGTATCCCTGATATTGTTTATTGTGTCTGGCCCAGAGTTTTGTGTATCATACATGCTAAGTAGTTCATAAATTGTGTGTGATTTACGTTTTGTGACTAGCATAGTTCAAAATGTGAATTAAAATAGAAAAGGTTTCTGTTTAGTTCATCTCTTCTTATCTACTGTTGCTGTAGACCACTTTTTTAGCCAACATAGGAAAAATCTATATTACACCAGCTTTTACATGGCAATGTTATTATTAATATAAATTCTCACAAGTACTGTTGTTAAGTACAGATCAGGTATTCTTGAGGAAGTTATGTGGTATATAATGAATAAATGAAGTCATTAAAATGATTATATTTGCATATTCTAAATTTTGAAAATAGAAAAAGATGTGTGTAGAAAAAGACATGTAGTGTATGCCACAATTTGGGTAGAACAGGATAAAAGATATATATGTGTGTGTGTGTGTGTGTGTGTGTGTGTGTGTGTGTGTGTGTGTTTCTAACTACATCTGCATAAAATATCCCTGGAAGGATACAAAGGAAAACTGCTAACATGTTTGCCTCAGTGAAAGAAAACTGGCAAGGTAGGGTGATGAAAAGGAACACTTCACTGTGACCTCCTTTGTACCCTGTGTATTCGTTTTTTAAATTGTAGATGGGCTGCTAAAATTTTTCCGTGTTGCCCAGGCTGGCCTTAAACTATCAGTCCTCCTGCCTCAGTATCGAGTGCTGGGACTAACAGTGCACACTGTCCATGCATAAATTCGTATTAAAACATGCATACACACACACACACAAAAAAAAAAAATTTCAGTACTAAAATACCCATTGACATCTCAATGGATAAAGATAAACAAAATATGTTATCTACATACAATAAAATATTATCCTTAAAAAGCAAGGAAATTCTGTAGTATGCTATCATATGAATGAATCAAAGATATTACACTAAATGAAATAAGCCAGACACTAAAAAACACAGTATGATTCCATTTATATGAAGTAGTCAAAGTCACAGAGACAAAAAGTAGATTGGTAGTTGCCAGGGGCTGATGGGAGGGAGAATGTCGAGTTATTGTTAATAGGTATAGAGTTTCAGTTTTAAAGACACAAAGATCATGGAGATGGATGGTGGTGATGGTTGTATAATATTATGAATGTCCTTAATAGCACTAAACTGCACACTTAAAAAAGGTTAAGATAGTATATTTTGTTATTTATACTTCATTATAATAAAAACTGAAAATGATTATAAATACTTAAAAATATTCTGATATACTAATAAGCTGGATGCAACAGGTAACTAGGGTGTATCAATCTCTGTGTTTTCCTTCAATTTATACAGGTGTCTTTAATACATCTGGTGGAAGTCACTCGGGTCAGAATTCAAGTACTCTTAATGGTGGAGATGTCATCAATCTTAGACCTAACAAACAAAGGACCAAGAAAAACAGAAATCCTTTCAGCAGCTGTAGCATACCTTAAAATATTTTAGGGATGAAAAAGTTGAATTATATTGTACACTTCACTAAGAAACACATCCAGCTGTCACAGTATGCTACAAGTGTTTTAGCAGTCTTTGTACCTAATGGCTTTCTGAAAGCTGACAGATTTAAACATTGCTCTGCAGTGCTTTTCAGAATGTAGAGTGAGACCTTTGGTGGAAAAATTACTGCCCTGTGGAACTCATTTTAATTTTTTTTTTTTTTTTTTTTTTACATTAGACGAGGCTTCTCCTGTTTTTGAAGGAATGCTATTACGAAATGTCAAAAACAGGTTTTGCTGAATTTTAAATGCTGGAAAATATATATGCAATGCCTAAATATATTGGTACAGATTTTAATATGAATAAAGGAAAAGAAAACAAGCATTCTTTTTCTGAAATTGGCCATCTAGCTTTTCTAGATAATAGTGTTGAACCCGAATACTTAGGAAAAATAATGCTGAAAGGCAAACCCTAAATCTTACCAGACTGCACTAGTATGTATTTTGGCAATGTTACTTGTGCAATATCTAAAAATTAGAATGTGGAAGTGTGCATGCAGATATCTGGTACTGAAGCAAACTGAAGGTATGTGCAGTATTTAAGGGAATGTAGATTTTAATTAATTCATTTGTAAACCATTTACACAATGTGTACGTTTTTATTTTCAAATGAAAAGTTCCTGACATATATTTTGCAAAATGAGCTTAGATTTAAAATGTGCTTTGTGCCAAAAATATCACCTAATTTTTACAGTGCTTTACTATCAAAATTTTTATTGTTTATAGTGTCTTTTAAAAGCAGTTCTCTGATAGGCAGATAAAAGGGGAATATAAATATTTTTATTGCTAGAGCATCTTCCTGGTATGAGACTTATTGCAAAATCTTTTCTGTGTGGTCACTGTAAACATGGTGCATTCATGCTGTCATAGGTTAGCCAAGTCCCAAGAAGGTACACTGTTCATGCACGGTCATTCAGGAGGTCCTTCAAAGTTTGTGCATCTAGCACCTTTTGCTGCTGACTGAGAACCCAACTTTGAACTTTTAAGAGTATGCTAACTATTTTTAAAATATGATCTTTAGTCCTAATCTAAGTTAGGGATTTTATAATAACCTGCAACTCTGAAGCATCCTTTTGTTTACATACTTTCATATATTATTTTACCATTCTTGCTTAAAAATTTCTATAACCTTTGGTTTGTTTAGCACTTTCTCAAGAGCTGTCAGCACCACATACAGAATAATATAAGAAACAATCTAATATGAAAGGATGTATCAGAGCATAAATTTTGTGACTTGGGACAGTAGCCTTTCAAACAGAGATAATTGCATGAACTGTGTAATCGATTGTAATTCTGATTATCATTCATCCGTGGTTGTTTTTTAATATATAATTAACCCATTTCAATATATCTCCTTTTTACAGGATTTTAAAATATGCAAAAATTTCTCTTGAATAATGTGTCATGAAGTCATTTTCATTATTTATACTAAATACATGTGTTTTATATATTTTTCTTTTTTTAAGTCTTCCATCTGCACCACCCTCATCCTTTTGTCCAGATTAATATTGAGAACATGTAGAATTTCCTGCAGTATGTCTTGGTTAAGTGATCAAGTATGAATGTTTGCTTTTCATAATATTGAAATAATCCGGCATTATCTATTTCAAAGTAATATAAAAGTTTATTTTTATGTCATCAGTTGTTACCACTCCCATTGCTGGCAGTGGGACAAGTGTTGGGGGATAAACTCAGCTTCTTACAATGATAACCTGCTAAGGAATGCATCTTTTTTACTCTTTAATTTTTGCACAAAAAATATTTGTGTCAAATAATCTCATGATCTTTATCAGAAGAAAAGTCTCTTGTTATATAATGTGTTGTAGTTCAATTTCATATTAATTGTGTGGATAAATGTGTGTTACTTCTCTGTATAAAAAATGTAATCTCCAATGATGATTGTAGTTATGTTTGGTTTATCCTTGTTTTTCCTTAAGAGAACTGAAGAGACCTAAATTTTTACTTGGCATTGTTATATTTTACACCTAATCATAATCATTTAAAATAAAAGGTCTGAAAACCAGTGATATGTTAAATAAGTTCTCAATTTAATCTTCTAAAACTTTAAAGATTGATATTTTTCCTTTGTGATCCTTTACTCTTTAAAGTAATTTTATTAACTTATCATGAAACTATGGATACTAAAGAGACACGACTAAGATTCTGGGTTAGCATGCATTTGTGCTCCAGTCTACTTTTATGGGTAATTTTTAGCATACAGACATATAGCTGTGGAACAACTGCCATATTTCAGTTCCTCTGGTTTCCTTTTTCAGTCTCTGCCTGTGAATTAAATAGTATGTACAAAATAGTCCATATAAGGCAATATATTTTAAAAGGTTCTTTTTACCTGTTCAAAATTGGTAGCACACGTGGTTTTTCAGAATAAAGCTTAACACTATTAAAAAGGACAAGCAACTTTCTTCTTTATGGAGTGAAGCTATGTGGTTGTTCCAAAGTTGGCAATGCATTGAGAAAGAAATCTCAGTAATATGTACTCCATTGCACCTGGGGCTTTAGGGACTGGGACCTTTTTTGAAAATCTTCTAGTGAGGAGTTGTCCTTAGAACCCAATGTTCTAACTTCAAACATTGTACTGTTTTAATGTAAGATATTGTTAGCCTCTTTTTCAAAGCTTTTGAAATAGTTATTATTTTCTGAAATATATCATTAGTGTATTTCTCTGAAAACAAAATGAACTGATGTGGTGAAAGCTTGTCTTTCATTGCACAGTCATTTGATAATCAGGTAGATTTCCTCAGTAATTATGAATATCGTGTACTTATTGTCACTCTTTAGGCTTTCATTTCATGTATATCTACATAAAATTGAATTTGTTTGTAAACAACAACAACAAAAAATATTTAAAACCCCAGTAGTCTTTAAGATACCCAGTCATCAAACACATGAGTAACTGGGTAATCTGACTATGATACTCTTTTACCAGCTAGTGCCCCTTTTTGGCTTTCTTTAAGTATCTCTAACAGAATGTTGGTAAATGGTATTTTAAAAATAAAAACTGGATTAAAAGGAAAACTGAACCACTTCTATATTTTTTGTGAGTAATAAATAATACTTTTGTAAATTTAAATGGAAAACCACTTGTATGAATTTGTACTGAGTAGCAGTTATGCCCTTAAGATTAATTTAAAATGTGCTATTTGATTAAAATTTCAGTGGAGATGAATTCCAATAATAATTTAAAAAACCATGCATTTCAAAGCTAGAATTTCATGTGATATGTGTGATGTTATCACCAAGGTGAAACTCAGTAGTAAAAGGTATAATGTGACTTCTTTAAAAATAAAAATAACCTAAAAATAGTTCATACTCCTGATCATGGATCAGTATGGAATATATTCATTTTGATAGTGGTTACTTAATGCAACTTAGTAGCACCATGGCATATAGATGTTTCTTCTAGCATTGTAGCAATATCATGCTTTTATTTTGTCTTGCTCTGAGGCTTTTAGTCCTCCAAATAACACATTTACTTTGTCTTGTGGTATAAAATAACCATACAGTTCTAATTGATTTCACAAGTTTTTTCCACATGTGAGCATGTGGTAGTATCTCTTACACATAAAAGCTTGAAGGAGCATTGTAACCCAGATTTTTCAGTTGCAAAGGGCAAGATTCTTGTTAAAGGAAATGCTCCTGGGCCCTCTGCTGGTAAGAGATGGAGTTGGGCACTCAGGCTACGTCTTCCAGGGATGCTTATTAACCCAGTAGTACTGAGCCTGTTTTCTGTTTTATCCATTTTCCTTTGGCTTCTTTGGTGTGAGTACACACACACACACACACACACACACACACACACACACAAATACAGAGGTGGCTGAGCCTACATTTACTCACACCTTTGTTGCCTTTTTTTCCCAAAGATTCTTAGCTCTTTTACCTTATTTTGTGTCTTTGGGTACCTGCCTTCAGAGACAGCATTTTCACATATATGAAATGTCTCCACATTTATCAGTCAGTCATTTAAAGGGTATAAATACATTAAACAGAATTTCGTTAGTTGTTAACCTCTTTAGGGCAGATTCTAAGCACTCTGGTCAATGCTAGACTGAGCTGCATCAACAGGGTACCATGCCTGCACTCAAGTGTTTGTCCTTGTGCATCATACTTGACTAATGTTTCATTAAATGAAAAGGAAGAGCCCATTCACAGGATACCATGTGTCCTAGAGAATCCAATAGTGGAAGGGCTGAGGCTGTAGCTCAGTGGTAAAGTGCTTGCCTTGTATGTGTGAGGCACTGGGTTCAATCCTCAGCACCACATAAAAATAAATAAAGATACTGTGTGTTCATCTACAACTAAATACATTTTTTTTTAAAAGAGAGAATCCATCAGTGGAAAGGCAAAGGCCACTGGAAACCTCAAGTTCAAATTCATTGCTGTTAAAGGTCCCCTTCCCACTTAAAAGCACTAGGAACTTTTTCAATATCAGAGTCCCTAAATTAAAACACCACAAAGCTCAGTTCTATATTTGCCATACTTAACAAGGTGGATTTTCACTTTGTCCTCAGTTGATGAATTTGAGTTAACATCTCCTTTGCAGGTCCGTTTGCCAGCTACCATACTTCAGAAAGCCTATCGTTAAAAATGAAGGCAGAAAGCAGGCTTTATGGAGAAGCCTTGGGACAGACAGGGATGGAAATGAGACAAAGAGCTGTCCTCAAATTGCATGTTACATTCTTAAATTGTGTTGGATTATGATAAGTCAAAACATACTCTAAGTGTCCTTCAAGTCTATTATCTGTCATTATCTATCATGTGGCTTATGTAGCAAAGAATACAAGTCAAGGAAGCATGACAACAATAATCTGTGAAGGAAAAAGTCCTGCCTGGACTGATATGGAGTGAATGGAATGGGAGGGTAGAGGGCAGGGGGTACCACCCAGAGGGGAAAGAGCTTTCCGAAACTGACAACACTAGAGAATCTGAGGAAAACTTGATCATCCCTTTCTTAATTTTCAAAAAGCTGCTAAAAAAACAAGGTGGCACAATTTTTTTTTTTCATCTGTGCAACCTGATGACAGCAACTCAGAATCCATTGACAAACCAAGAACTATTGCCACAGATAGAATTAACATTTCCCCAAAATAGAAAGACTTAAATGAGCAGAGTTGGGGCTGGCAAAGATCAACTATGAATGTCCTCAGTATATCTAACTTGGCATCTTTTTTTTTTTTTAACCCCTACCCCCAACTAACTTGGCATCTTTTGTACAGAAAATTCTGCTCAATCTTGTTTGCACTGAGAAATATAGATATATAAAATCAATCTGAATATTTTTTGTGATTACCTATATTCTAATAGAAATTGAGTTGAAGTATTTGTTTCACAGTATTTGGGGAAGTTGTGCTCAAAAGCACTAGTTAATTTTAACAAAGTTGTGCTATACTTTATTTATAAAAGAAGGATCAATACATTGGTCAGCCTTGTTAGTAAGCAAGATGCAAATTAAATTCAGGTGTTTTAAGTCTACAACTAGACAAATTTAAGGCTCAATGCTAGAATTTCAGTGAAATAACTACACTTTAATTGCTGAAGACAGACATTTCTGAATTCTTTGTATGAAAGTTATCAATTTATAAATATGTGTTAGGCCATGAAAATCTATATACCCCTTGACCCAATAAATCCACCTGCTGAGAATTTGTACAAAAATCAAAAACAAAGGATAAAGCTTAGTTAAGTTGCAGTAATAGCAACAAGTTGGACCACTACACAAAATAGAGCTTTTGAAACTGCAATTAAGCAGCCTTTATAGTGGCTTAAAGGAAGAAAAAAATAAAAGGCAAGGTTCAACACTGAAAGTTTAGACAACTAATGCATTTGAGAGATCAAGTGGACATATAATTGTTCAACTGTTGCAAAATTAGAGCTGCTTTTTCTCACGTTGCCATGTATATACAAAATACATTCGTACCGTAAGATGCACAAATCTTAAAAACAAAATAATCATGTAAATGCAGGTAAAGGTCCTTATGTTGTGATTCCTTTTATCCCTCTAAGCACAGTATTTAGTACTTGAGTGTACTGCGTGTGTGTATGTGGGGTGTGTGTGTGTACATGCATGCACATGTGTACACTGTTAGGGTAAGGAATTTCTAGCTAACTAAATGCTCATGTGCCTGTGTGTTTTCATGCCAGACAAAGTCCAGGAATGCTTTAACCCCGGCCGAATACATTTTTTTCTACATACTATGTATTCATTCATCCACAAAATAGTAAAATATATAGTGCTAGATCCTAGTACAAGATAAGAATTCAATCTAAAAACTTCTAGATAATTAAAATACTTTAAATTTTAATTATTATTTGCAAAAATGTTAACACTGGAGTATTTTCCTCATCTGAAACAACTGTATCAAGTAAGTGGTTATACCTGACAAAGAACTAAAATAGCATCTTATTATTTTTATATCATCATTTGTAGGTACCCTTAGGTTTCAAGACTACTTAAATTTGCTTTCAGCATTTTGTTGCAGAGTTTTAGAACCAGCTCCTTTAGAATGCTCCAATAGCTTGATGGCCTTGTCAGAATTTTCAATATTTCTAAGCAAAGTCTCTAATCTTCTCTTAATTTTCTTCTGATCTTCAAGAGCACAGCCAATTACTATAGATTGAAATTTTTGATCAACAGGCCCAGGTGGCACCTCAGACAAACATGCACTGTAGAGTGACATTAAATGATTCTTGGCATTTCCCAAATCATCCAGAAACTTATTGACCACCTCATCTATAATCCTTGTGGCATGCTTTAGGGATTCTTGCTGTTGGGGATTTCTAATTGTTTCTACTGAAACTTCAACGGTGAGGGTTCGTCCCATCAAACGGTTTGCAGTCAGATTTAATTCTTCTCTTTCTCCTAAACATAAAAAGTTTTGAAATATCAATCAATATGGGACACAAGCTTATTCATGTCAAGAACACTAAGGCATTCATTTATGGCTAGATTTATTTTCTATAAGAACTTGTGCTGTGAAAATTTTAAGGTGAAGACTAAAACTACAGCATGTAAGATTAACAGACGAAATACTAGAGGTCGCAGAGTACCTTTCTCTGAAAATCTGTGACAGTGTACCAAATGACTTCTCAGGTTCACATGTCTGCACAAGTGTGTGCAGGTTTGTTTCTGAGATGAAGAACAATCACATCATTGTGAGCAAGGAGCATACTAGGGTTTGTGCTGGGTAGAGCTGTGGTGATGAGACTGTACCATATGAGGGTGTGCAGGTGTGGCCAAGGAGTCAGAGCCATGACAGTAGAGAATAAGCTGGCCTCAAAACCAAGCACTGACTTCATCCCCTCCAGGCAGTCTGAGGAAGATCAGAGGTCCCGAATCGTGGCTGGCACAAGGAGGCAATGATGGTAAACAGGGCTCTGTCAACAGTGCACTATATAAAAAAGCCCATGATCTCCTCTTTGTCCTATAACCTCATTCCTAACTCATGACCTTGGGCCACAATAATGAAGAGACAAACTAGATCATGACCCACTGTGGATGTTTACCAGTTTGGATCTGAAGTTAAGCTTACTGTTCTATGACCCACTGGCTTACCCCATGGAGCACCAAAGGAACCCAGTTGGGAATCCAATGCCAAGGGAAGAACACCCCAGGGCCCTATTCCTCCACAGGCAGTGGCGTTCTTCAAATGAAGAGGACAGCACATCAGTGTCTTCTTTTGGTCCTGAA